ACGTACCTGACGACGGCACCACAGAGTACCCATCGTAGGGTAGTCGACCTCTGGTCGCTCCTCGTACAGTGACTCCTCGTACGCGTGCTGGTCCACCTCAGGGCGGCCGATCGCAATCCTCTCAGCTGCCCAGATAGAAAGAGAGGGAACCCACCAAAGGTCGCGTTGGGATCCGTCTTCGTGCAAGCCTCACAAAGTGCACGGTACAGAGCCGCCAACAACGCGGAACCCCAGCTCCACTGAGGCACCTCGCCTACCGCGGCGTCGGCGATGCTCCTGGCGTAGTGCACGAGTCCCTTGTCGACCGCGTGCCCGTGACCGCCACAGAACATCACCCGGCGAAAAAGCCAGAGCAAGTACGCCTCCAAACAGCGGGTGTAGGAGTACTCGTCGGCCTCCGCCTGTAGCTGCTCGACCTGCAAGCCGTCGATAAAAAGTTAGGCACCTTAACTGTGGACTAAATATGTAATACACTTGTCATTTCGGTACAAAAACACTCACGGTGAACTGAAGCAGCCACCTCTTCGTAGGTCCGGTGTTGCGGTGGTGTGCCAACGGCTCGAGCGGGAGGTGCGGTGCGCGCTGTACTAGTGCGAAACGTGCCGTCAGATCGTCCTGCCAGTCCACAGCCGTGGTCACTGGCCCAACAGCCTCTCCCGCGAGCGGTAGCCCCAACAAGTACGATACGTCCTGTAGGGTAGGGGCTACCTCACCGCACGGCAAGTGAAAAGTGTGCGTCTCTGGCCTCCATCGGTCGACCAAAGCTGCTAGGAGGGACCTGTCCATAGTCCATCGTCTGACCGAGTCCGCGTCGCCGGCGGCAGCCTCCACCAGCCGACACATCGGTAGGAGGCCGGCCTCACGCAGCCTGCAATAACAAATTAATATGTCATTATAAAAAATATTACAGCGCAACTAACTTATAGTAATACACCGTTCGTACCTCTCGACAAAGGAGTCGTGAACCGTGAGTAGCTCACCGCACGTCCGAGCCCGGAACGTCCCAAGCTGAGCCCCCTGCACTGCAGTAAGGTGAGACCGGTATCGGTGATCTATCGCCGGGTCCAACAACTGAGGTGTATCCTAATGTGCCATCTCTGAAAAATATATTGTTTCATGTTAGAACAATTCAGAAAGTAGTAATGTAAAACAAAAGATAACTTGCAAAATTATGAAATAGTAATAAAATCATGAGAATAATTATGTACAACAAGAGTACAGGCTATTTAAATATAGCAAACGTTACTAATGGTACACTCCGATGACATGCAATTTAACATATATGTAGAGCTCGATAATATAACAAAACATTACGTGTCGAAGTCCGACATACATCAGCATACCTAAAGACGTTAGGCGCCTTAGTCCGACGTTACATCACGAGACCAAAAGACATGACATGCCGAAGTCTGACATTACACGACGAAACATAAACACATCGATAAGTTCGAAACGAATTACAAGCAAAGCCACATGCCAACATAGAACATAAGAACTACACCACGTATCCAGACGTGGCACGACGACGCCTAGGACGTGGTCGAGAGGAGGTAGTGCCTTCACCCGTAGGGCGAGCTCCATCTGCTGCTGATCCTGATAGTCCTGCCTCCGCCGCATTTGGTTTCTCCTTGTCTTTAGGACAATGCTTGTAGGTGTGCCCATGTTCATCGCATTTGCTGCAACGCTTCACCCTGCCAGCCTCCGACTCGTCCATATCATTGCGGATGCGACGAGTCCTCCTCCTTCCAGCCTTGCCTCGGAGCTTTGATGGGTCAGGAATATTGAGTACTTCATCGTTAGTCTCTGTGAACTCCCCAGCTATGCCGAACCTATAAAATCTCGCCGCTCCATGTATGATATATTGCTTGCTTACTGAAGTACTGTGACACATATACTGCATCTGGTATGCCACACTCCGCTGCGGCAGCAATGACATGGGTGCATGGCCTGTGGAGCAGCTTCGGCTTTGCACAAGAGCAATGACATGTGCCGTCGGCTTTGAGAACACACTCCTGCTTCACTCTGTTGCGGTAGATACCCCTGCCTGCCTTATCTTGACATAGTATCTCAAACCTGTGCTGTTGGGTACCTTGCACTAGAGCTCGATGTTTCATGGCCTTTTTACGCAACTCCTCTAGCTTTTTCTGCATGAAAGTTCCAAACAAAATGTTGTTATTTGGCATAGAAGGAAGAACTGCCTGGAACCGATCCCTAAAATACCTGCATGTCCCATGTAAAATGAATTCCACTATGCCAACTAGTGGCAGTCCACGGACACCGCGCATCACCCAGTTGTAAACTTCTGCCAAATTTGTTGTCATTATTCCATATCTAGCACCACCTGTGTCATACGCCTTGGCCCATTTCTCTTTTGGTTCATGCAGAATCCACTGAGAAAATTTCCGAATCTCCAATCCAGTTCTTCTAACCAATGTTGAACTATCCGTTGGGAAAGGTCCAAGAGCTTGAGGAGGGTCAGCAACGGCGGTCGATGGAGCCGCTGCACGCTGATCACTGCATTTGGCTGTCAACTCATCTAATCTCTTCCAAAGCTCATTGAATTTTTTCTCCTGGTTCTGATTGCACAGCCTCTTGAACATGTTCATGAGCTCCTTGTTCTTGAATTGCTTGAAGAAATTAGCTCCCATATGACGCATGCACCACCTACTCTGTACATCTTCCCAAACACCGGGGTATCCTCGTTCCATACTCCTAAACTGCAACTCTTCTATCGCTCGCAGAATGCCAGCGTGCCTATCATGTATCAGGCACACATTTGGCCTCATACCAACAACTTTTGTTTTAACCAATTTCAGGAACCAGTACCAGCTATCGGTATTCTCACTCTCAACAAAAGCAAATGCCAAGGGCAATACCTGATTGTTCCCATCTACCCCTATTGTTGTTAGTATCTGGCCCCGATACTTTCCTGTCAAGAATGTCCCATCAATGCAGAGAACAGGACGACAGTTCATGAATGCCATCTTGCATGCATGTAGAGCTAAGAACGCCCTTTGCAGCACACTCTTGCCAGGATGTTCAATTGAGGGGAATTTCTTCACTTCGTAAGAGCTCCCAGGGTTTCTTTCCTCGATAACACCAAGCAGGCGTGGCAAATTGTCATACGAGGCTTCGTAAGTTCCAAATCTCATCTCTATTATTTTCTGTTTGGCCCTCCAGGCCTTGGCATAGCTAATAGTATACTTGTATATCTCTTCGATGTGTCGGATTATTGACCTTGGTTCATATGTGAGATTATCGATGACATGCGCATACATCTCAGATGCAACAAATGCACATGTAATGTTCCTGTGGTATTTCTGAACACTAGGTAGAAAACATGTATGCTTGGTAACGACTGACACTGTCCAATAATCCTTCCATTTCCCCTTATACACGTGCACTCTCCAGGGACAACCATCTTTTTCCTTAACACACCGAACTTCATATTGCGACCGGTTTGACTTGGCAACCCAAAACTCTCTATGAAGTGACACTGCAAAATGTTTTACCGCCTCCTTCATATCTTCTGCTCTACTATAAATCGCTCCCTGAATAACCTCATTTTCTTTGTACTCCCATCTCACCCTATCCTCTTCAGAGACGATCAGCCCAGAAAAATCCTCACTAGCCCATTCTGCTGGATTAATATCCGTCTCATCATCTGACGAATCACCTTCCTCTACACGCTCATTGTCAGAATCCTCCCTCTCCATTTCATCCACAATGGCACCGACAGTCTCCCCCTCGTCGGCCACTCCACCTGGTTGAATGCCCACTGGAGCTACTACGTCCCCATCCTCTCGTGCGTTGACCTCCTCCACAGAAGTCTCATTTACTTCAGCACTTGGTCCCTCGCCATCATCCATGTTCATCTGCACACCTGGATCCTTCGGGTGAACAAACGGAACCAAAGCTAGAGGCCATCCGCGTTGCAATGCATTTTCCAAATACCATCTCCACACTCGAGAGTTTTGAACTGGCATTAGTTCCCAATAAAAACCCTCAGTTGCCCGACTTACTATAACATTGATTGTTATGTCACTTGTCTGTGGATCAACTCTCAAGCCCCTCATTAACCATCCTTTTATAGAAGATACACTCCTCTCAGCCGATCTATCAATTCCCCTTTCTGATACAATAAAATCTGACAGATCTACCCCAGTTGACCCGTAACGGACGTTTCCTGGTCCATACTAAACTTGGAATATTTGTTTGTTTGACATATCTGTCAACGAAATAACTAGATCATATTACTCTTTCATGCAATAAACATCTACAACGTAATATCTTCTTGTGTAAGCCAATGCAACGGTAATGTATTTATTCCAAACTAGCAGATCTACGTAGTTACCGATATCTACAATACGCACTTCTAGATTAGTACAACTAAAACCCTAAAAATATAATGCATTTATTCAAACAAATTTTTAAAAAATACACACTATTTAACTCAATAGTCACATATAGGATCTGTGAATATTACCTGAAATCGGCGTCAGAATCCGGCAGGCTTCGCCCCTTCTTGTCTTCTCCTCCCCTCTCTTCTTTTTTTTTTCATTGGAATTGAGGAGGGAGGAATAAGGGCTGGGGGCTGGGCGGCAAGCCTTTTATAGGCAGCGAGGCCTGCCGCCCGGCCAGAGGGCGGCAAGGGGCCGCCTGCAAAATGGCCGGCCCCGACTAGCTTTTTTGCATTCGGGCCCCTTACCGCCCCACCAGAGGGCGACAAAGGTTTTCCTGAAAAAAACCCTCCCTCCGTCACCGCCCGTTCCTCCCCCGTTTGCCACGTCAGCTTACCGCCCCAGAGGTGGGCGGCAGGGTCTATTTTTGTATTTTTTTTGGCCGATAGATTATTTCTGTAAATATTTAAAAAAAAATTTAAAACCGAAAAAATTTCGAAAAATGACAACGCAGGAGTCCACACCGACACAGACAAAACTTGATATCTGCAGTCCAACATCTACAATGGACCAGTCCAAGTCCAGCAAAGCGGCTACATCTTATCAACAAATTTCAGGTATGGCACATCACTTACAAATGCTAACTCGGTCATCCTTTACAATATATATACACCGCAGATCACTGCCATATTTGCTTAGAGATCTCCTGAAAGCTCTGCATTCTGAAGCATCAAGAGAGGAGAGAACAAGAAAGAAACATGAGGAGGAACACTGTTCTTGCCCTTGTGTCCTGGCTCATGCTGCTTGCACTCTTCATCACCACCGCCACTGCATCGCTGCGTATGTCATATATTAGGAAATTTCCTGTTTATTCATCTATTGGATTTTTTTTCTATAAGTGTTCCAGAAATATAAACATGTCAATCATAATGTCAGTTAGATGCTCTCTTCATTGGAAGTTTGATTCTTTTGTGGTAATATTGCAAGCTGGCAGTAGAGAGTCATGCTCCTCTGCTGTTGGCATGTTAGCATCATGTCATGTCCATTTTATGAGCTTCATCTTGGAAACATTTCTTTTCAGCTTGCAGGTGCTGCTGGCTGGTGCAGCATCCAAAGGTGACCTGTGGCCATGCCTACTGTGGCGAAAACTGCTGCCCTCCTACTCCACCGCCATCGTCGCGCTGAATGGAAAAAAAAATGCCTCAGGCTTGTTAGTCAGTAATATGAAATATGAAATAAAGTCTACTGGAATAATGTTGTACTCAGCTGCTCTTCAGTGAACATCTACACTGATATGCACCAATGAAACACCTTACATCAAGAGCTTAAGGCTGCAAGAATGCAATATTTTCCTTTAAACTGGTGGCAAATACACAAATGAGAAATTTCACCACCAGGTCAATTTTAATGCACGACACAACAATCTAATCTTCAATTCTTCATATATGGCTAGAATGCAATATTTTCCTAAAACTAGAAGTCAATAATACAATATACTTTATATTCACAAGGACAACATATCATTCTGGTATGTTCAACAGATCATTTTCGACATCAGGCTGAACATATCATTCGAAGGTACATGAACACCCAAAAAAACTAAGATCTGTTAAATTGTAAATTGCTGGCAAAAACATGTTTCTTCAGAATCAGGAGAAATTTCAGCACAAATCAACTTTCATATATATATGGCTAGAATCTCTTTTCCTAATCTCACACAATCTAATTTTCATATATGGCTAGAATGCCGTGGTTTCCTAAATCTACTAGAAGAATACCTTCTATAACACAAGGCCACAGAAAGTATGCCGATGTGTCCTAACAGATCATTTTCGACGTCAGACAGAACCCATCATTCTAAGGTACATGAACACCCAGAAAAATAGAACCCACACCCCACAACAAACCCCACAACCGCAGCCACAGGAGGAAACTGCAGAGCTTTTACTATCATCAATTCCAACAAGAAAGCGACACTCGCCCATGGATGGATCAAGGTAAGTTATCATCCCATTCCCATCGAAATCGCAACTCTTAGCATCCTGCTTCTGTTGCTGATAGTAGCTGTTGAAAGCATAAGAAACGTTGGCCTTCTCTCCAATGCCATAGCAGGAACCTCCATAGTCGAGTGTGGTACAATCAGCCATAGAGCAAGCAAGCTTTAAGTGATTTGCAACATTATCAAGATTCTGGGCAGGGTTTGCGATGCACCACCGTGATGGAAGATATGGCACCTCTCTAGCATTCTTAAGTACCGGATTCCCTAAACCAAGATTCAATGGGTACTTGGCTTGTCCATCAAATGAGAAGATCCCCCAGTGTCTCTCAAAGTTTCCAGGTAGTATGCTCTTTTGCTCTTCATCAAAAAGGCTGAAAAGATAGACATCAGCTGGAGGTACACCAGGACGAAGCGGAGTTCCTTTGTTGTTCATAACACGATTCATAAGACCTTGGTTGAATGCCCTTGCTGCAGTTAAGTTTGCACTCGGTGCTCCTTCAGTTGGCCAGCCAACTTCACCAATTGCAATCGGTAGCTGTCCATATCCAATTTTACCCAGCGCAGCAACTAATGTGTCAAAGTTGCCATCAAAAGCATTGTAGTATGTGTTAGGACCATCTACAACCGGGTGAGTAGATCCCTCGAAGAAGGCATAATCTTGTGGAAAGTCAGAGCTCTGATAAAGACTGAGAAAAGGGTATATATTGACCACAAATGGCGCTCCACTAGAACTGAGAAAAGCGGCGAGCTGGGTCATTATCTGAGTCAGTTCAGTCCTAAAAACTCCTTGTGATGGGAGAGAAGCACTCTGATAAGCATCAGCATTGCATGGGACAACAAGCTTCACATAGCTAGCAAGATTAGCCTTCACCAGCGATTGCTGAATGTTTGTCATTGCTGGAATAACATATGACTGGAATTGACCCTGGTAGCTCGTCAAGAACGGCTCATTTCCCACGGCAATGTATCTGTATAAAATTCATAGGGTAATTACTCAACAGCACATAACTAAATGAGATAAAATGTAGTAATAGCCAATTCCAAAATGACATTGCCAATAACAAACCGATATACTATTGATATTTCTAAGATAAAAATAGGCAATTACAACTAAATCAAATCAAGATGATGCAGATTTCCACCCAATACCAAATCGAAGTTTCAATGTAATTATTGAAGGCAAAAAAGTTGTCACCAATCTTCATGTGTACAAAAAGGTGAATGAGATCTTCGACATAAAGCGATCAAAATAGTCTAAAGCAAAGCGAATGTACATTTAAGTAAAGCTAAAGAGATCCAGGAACTACGCCCAAATCAAATCCAACAATTTGTAACCAAACTAAATGCAAAGAATCCTACATTGGCCACCCAAACCACAAAAAGGAACAGTGATAAGTACCTTGATCTACAGAGAGTCACTGCAGGAGATCTCAGAATCAAGACTGAAGCGGCGGGAGGCACTCACCGGATGTCGACGCCGCCGCGGCCGACGTAGCGCGAGACGTTCTGCGCGACCCAGGCGTCGGCGGCGGCGGGGGATCCCGCGACGGCGGCGAGCTCGGCGTTGGTGACGCCGACCATGACCTGGAGGCCGCTGCCGGCGAGCGCGCGCAGCACGGCCGGGTCGGCGTCGAAGAGCTTGACCTTCCCGATCCGGTTGGCGCGGAGCAGGTCCACCACCACCGGCGGCGGGACGCGGTGGGACGACAGGGTGCCCCAGTTCACCCCGACCGCCGCCTCCGCCGGGGGCGCGGCCATCGCGGCCAGCAGGAGGGCCAGCAGCGCCGCCGCGAAGGCGCCCATCGCCGGGCGTCGGCGGGGTGGGTGGGTGGATTCTCGCGTTCTTGGATGGAAAAGGGTTTGGATCTTTGGGTGGGATTCGGCGAGAGCTTTGAGTTGGTGAGAGAGGAGAAAGGGACGAAGGGAGTGTGGTGAGAGTGAGGTACTCCAGTACCACTAGTAACTGGGATCTGTGTGAGCTCGAAGCTTCTCAAATGGCGAGCTAGTGGAGTGGAGTGTAGCAGTGGAGAGGAGATAATTTGGTAAAAAAAGGTTGTCGCTGCTTTGTCATCGGACTGAGGCTGACAGCTGCAACAGTAGTGTATGAATGCGAGAGCCGTTGGGTTGGAGAATCGAGGAATGCGGTAAGAGCAAATTCAATAGTAGAGTTAACTGCTGGCTCCAAAATTCAGTATAATCATTTAAGAGATAACTAAACCACGATGGTAGATATAACAATTGACTACACTCATGCTTTAACTAAGATATCCTGTCAGGTATTGGTAATTTCTGCATGTTCAAGTTCTGATTCTCTATTGGTTGTCCCGAACTGCAGGGGGCCAGAGTGCCTAGGCGCTCGTGCTTGAGCCGGCGACTAGATTGTCGTCCCATTTGCTCTCTCTGATTTTTCTCTCTCTATCAGTATATGTTAAAATATTAGGTAAGCAGGCTATTAGACCTGCTATGTACCTGCTCTAAGGGCACTAGGCAGGTGAAAAATGTCTCCTTCCCTGCTATTGCTCGCTGCTGAAAAAAAACAATCAGTTCATTTTTTTAATAATGAAAATGATTCATCTTGGTATTGCTTTCGTCCTAAAATATACACCCTATGTCTAAAATGATAACTTTTAGGGATGAATCTGAACATATGTATATCCAAGTTTATATCTAGAAGTTAGTTTTTTATAGAATAGAGGGAGTAGATATTTAGTAGAGGATGTGTTTATATTTTGGGACGAAGAAATTATCTGTTAATAGACACACGGTAAAAACAAGATAAATTAAAAAAAACTCCATGTTATGGGACAACTCTCAGCTTCCTCATGATGATATCCAACTGAATATCTAATAAAAAAACATAGAATCTAAAATAATATTCTATATGAACTACGTCATCTAAACGGTAACAAAAGACCCGTGGCTACCAAATTCAAAACTGTAGTTCTACTATACATAGTATCCTACTACTCCTATGAAATCATCAAGGATCAAGAATGCAGCTAACTGAAATATACGAAGATAACCTATATGAGGTTAAACAATTTTTTATTGTTGACAACTATATTATGGCAACAACACCAAATTGATCAATATAAGACACTACTTCTAAATAAAATCAGTTTTTAAATAAATCTAGACACCTCCCTTAGCCTATTACCAAAATTATTTTTAGCATTTCAAGGAGGGGGTGTTGAAAGCAAAAGGACGCATCCCAAACACAATGTGCGACATGTTATCCAAAGAAAAGATGTTAAAGCAATCATTTCACAAATGTCGTGTTCTATTGTTTTCAGCGTTCAGTGATGGCTTACGGGGACAGGACAGCCTAAGCCTATCCTGCTTGAGAGATTGTGTGTACACCTGAATTTGGCACGTAAAGTCGAAATAGGGAAAATTGCCAAAGTTTAAAAATCTACCGATGTTTCCTTTTGGAGGCCGGCTGACTGCCGTGTATAGGCCGGTCAGACCGCTGGCATGTGGCCGGTCTGACCGACAGAGTCCGAGCCCGAATCAGTTTTATCGGGTCTCGAGTTTTCTTTGCTTGGGAAGACATGTTTCGGGTTTCCTTTAGTTTCTATCCCAAGTTGGACGTGGAGGAGGGCCCGTAGAGGGCAAGACCAACCCCTATATAAGGGACAAGGCCCGTTCAATTGTAAAAAATATCCTACAATCAATCAATCGAATCGTTTTTTTTATATTGCTTCTAGTTCTAGTTTAGTTTGTGCATCTTTGTCGAGTGCGCCATAAATCGTCCGTCGCCACTGCGAGAGTGTGACACCTCTTTGTAGGTTTGTCCTAAAAACCTTCCGTTTTGCCCACGAGTTGGGTAGTTATCCACCATTTCATCTAGATCAGTTCCGTTAGCCGATTTAGTTTATCAAAACCCATCTTGATGTAGCGCTTGCTAGATTAGGGTGGTTGGCGACTCTACGATTACCGCAAGACGTTTAGGTGCTGTGATCGTGCTTGTCAACTTCTCAAAAAGTTGTCAACACGATTTTTGGCGACTCCACTGGGGAAATTTGCTCAACGTCATCTCAACTTCGACTCCGCCATGTCAAAGCAAAGCAAGCCGGAGGTGGATGGATCCAATGTCATCAAGATTTCTTTGGATGATCTAGATAAGGAGCAACGTCAAGAATATGGAGCGTCAATTCAAGGCGTGGCAAGAGGAGGCGCTGACGAGGATGTTCACCAAAATTCGTTAAGGAATGATTCGCAAGCCCGGTCCTCCTCTCCAACTTGCTACTAAAGAGGTAAAAGAGGTAAATCCTAAAGAACTTGCAATTCCTGTTCAAAAACTCGTAGCAATTACTGCTGTTGTTAATAAGAAACTTGATACTGCTATGAAAGCTTGTTTTAATGAGAGCATTAAGGATTATATGAGTTCTAAATTCGGCTCTTTCATAGCCAATTTACCACCTAAAACCTCTGCAAGCACTAGCCAAGCCCCTGTTAATCAAATATTTAACAAATCCGACGAGGCAAATATGCAATCAGTCGGTGAGGGAGAATCGGCGCAGTCGGCCGGTCTGACCGGGCCTAGTGGCCGGTCGGACCGCGGCCTCTCTCTCGGTCTGACTGGCCAGACGGCCGGTCCGACCGGGCAACCTCAGTCAGATGGCCGGTCTGACTGCTCTGACCGCACCTCTGGACGTCGGTCAGACCGGACCCTAGGTTGGTTAGACTGGCGTAATAGTGCTGATACCGAGGATTGATCCTATAACTAATAATGGGCTTTTATACCATATTCCAGTACATGATCCTCCTATAGCTACTGTTAATCCCCAAATTCCCCCACATATCCCTAACGCTTACAATGATCCTAATAGAGGGTATCCTCATCACACTGGATATGGCCAATATAATAATATTGTGCCACAACAACCACTTTTTAGGCCACCAAACCCACCACCGAATCCACCAAGGCATGAAACTATGGAGGATCGGATTAGGACTATCATTAGGGAGAATTTTGGGATTGAGGTAAGGTATTGTGCTAGGGTTTACCAAAAGCCGTATCCTGATTACTATAATAATGTCCCATATCATCGTGGCTATAGAGTTCTCGAATTTACCAAGGCTATGTTCGGGAGGCATGGAGATGATGGGTTGAAGAAGACCAATATGATTCTCAATGGTTTCAATAGTGAACCAACGGAGACGAAATATGTCTTTTCGGTGGAGCTTACCGTGGGAAACAAGACGTTGCCAACTGCTTTCTTCATCGTCGATATACAAGGTAACTATGGTGTTATTTTGGATTGTTGTTGGATTCATACCAATTGTTGTGTGTCCTTTACCTTGCATCAATGTTTATTTCAATAGGACGGCGATGATATTGAGATTGTTCAAACGGATACATCGGCCGAGGTTGCAATGGCCGATGCTTCAATTGAGTGGCAACATGGGAATATTCAATGCTTATCGGGGTTAGATCTCTCTGGCTATGATTTTATTAGTGTTTCTAATGGTAGTTTTTGTCACGACCGGAAATAACCCAACGGGCGTTCCTTATGTGCGTGTATTATTCCTTGTCCCAGGAGGCAAGGTACACCAAAAGTTGATACAATTCAGAGTTTAACAAGCGGAAGCGTAAATAATTAATACACGGGTGGCGAAGGCCCAGCACACAGGAAGACAAACGAAAAACAGCGGAAGACTAGGGCGACGACCACAGGCGCTTGACGGCAGGCACGAGCTAGACACCAAAGCCTTCATCTTCCAGGAACTCCTCTTCTGGGTTTGGGAAAAAATTGAGCAAGACTGAGTACAACCACCGTACTCAACATAACACACCCATGAGTGCAGAATAAATGCAAGGGAGTACAAGGGAGCCATAATATAGGGGGTTAGGATTTGCAATAAACAGCATTAAAAGTCACTTAGTTGCTCAAAGCTATTTTGTAAATACGATCCTAGAGCTATGCAATATTATTAATCAAGGCCGTGAACCCACACGAACCTGCCTTAACCCAAGGCCTACGATGATTCAGACCGAACTAGCAACCCGACCCTGGGTCCCAGCTCGTCCCAAGCCAACCCAGGCCAACCATTCCACCTTTTAGTTGTTAAGCAGGTTTTAAGAATTAAAACACTAACTTGGGTACATTGTTAGGCTTGCCCATAACCGAGGGCGCGGCTATTCAAATAGGTTATACTCTGATCAGAGGTGTACATCTTTACCCACAAGACACATCTTCCTCACGTGTAACCACGTGCCACATACCACCACGGTATACGGGCGAAAGACGTGACATAGTTTCCAACCCATCCTAGCCATAGACAAGAGTACCGACCCAACCCTACCTACGGCCGGAACCTCCGGGACAGGTAGGCAGGACTGAGCCCCTAGCAGCAGGACACCAGCCCTGTGCCATGACATCTCGACTACCGGGCCGCAGCTCGTGTAGCCTTCATATGCCCTAGAGATGTCCATCGACCCCCGACTTCGTCCATCTCCATCCGTGTACTTTTGTTTATAACCAGACTGAGCCACAAACTAAGCCTTACCCACTAGACATATGGAAGTACGGTAGTGCTTTGCAACAGAGGCCCGAAGACCGGTCCTTATATGGCCGAGGTGCTACTATCAAAACTATGCACCCCGAGCCCAGCCTAAAACCATTTTGAGGATTTTGAATAGAGGGGGAGGTGTGAATCCAATTCCACAATAATCCAACCATTCCATAGTGTCCAGGTGATGAGAATATTCCTAAAGTCTAGAGTTGTAAAACCACCTAATGTTGCCTAATTAATCAGCGAAGCATCTACCTAAATTCATACTAGTGGTACCATGAGTAGAGTGTCCACTAGTTGGGGTTTTGTTTATTCTAGGGTGAACAAGGTAATAATAACAATAGCAATAATAATAAGGTCATAACAAAGGAAAATAGGCATGGCTAAATAAAACAGTGATAACGCGGGAATTTAAATAAAGCGATAATGCAATAATTTAAATCAAAATAATTTTATAAAATGGGATTCAATATGTTCAAGGATGATGTAACTTGCCTTGCTCGCTTTCCCAAACGTCGGCTTCAACCTCCACGAAGAGCGGAT